CTATTTTTTGGTTGCAGCCGTCATTGTTGTTTGGCGGGTCCGGGCTGGGGATTCGAACCCGCCACCTTAGGTGTACGTGGCTGGCGCCTTAGCCGATTGAGCTATAGGCGCCAAGCCTTAACTACAGATTTCTAAGGCAAGGTCTTCGTCCATGCATCCTTTATCCTAATATCTAGCACCACATGCCCTACTTTGCTAATAGATATCACAAGCTCAAGAAGAAATATATAATTTTGATATTAACTTGAATAAAAAAGAAATATAATAAAGAAAGGAACTTCAACAAGGTTGAAAGGTGCTTCAATAAGGAAATTTCTTAAAAGATAGGATATTCCAAAACCAAAGGGTTTTCTGTATCTTTGTTTCAGAATATCTATGCCACAGCACCAATTTTAGGGTGGGTATGTTCCTTCAGTATGGATAGGTGAGAGTTGATGCAGCAAAGGTTAGGGGTTTTTTTGGTTTGTTTGTTTTGTTTGGCTACAGAGCACTTTGCTTTCCTTTCTGTTTATTAGTATAACTGGTTATGAGAATGGGGATATAGAAGCAGACAAGGCTAAAATTACCCAGGCCAAGGTCAGATAAAGAGGGAACAGAATGTCTAGAGTTTTGCTTCCTCTGCTGTTTTTCTACCATGCCACATCTGGGTGGATGACAGAGACAGGTGACTGCAGGTTGAGAGCCATCTCCTTCATCACCTCTTTACAGGCTGCCATTGGGGCAGTATTCTTCCTTCATTACAGGTCAAGTCCTTCTTACACTGCCTCATGGCTCAATGGCTGTGAAAGAGTTTGCAATTCTTTCACCAGTTGAGTGACGATGAGGATAATAATACCTATTGCAACCTAGCACAGTCAGACTTTATAAATTCTAAAGTGCTGCCCAAATGTTAGTTGCTACTGCCAATTCAAAGATGACTAATTTTTTTTTCATTTTCCTACATCAAGGGCTAGTGAAAAATTTTTTACAAGGGCCTGATAATAAGTATTTTAGGGTTTGTAGGCCATATGGTCTCTGTTGTAACTACTCAACTATGCTTTTGTGGTAGACAAGCAGCCATAGATAATATAGAAATGGATGGATGGGCCTTGTTCCAATAAAACTTTATTTATAAAAACAGGTGGCAGAATAGTTTGACCCATGGACCATATTTGCAAATCCCTGCCCTATGCTTTGGTAAGAATGAAACACCAGAGGCAGAGAAGAATATCTACACTTCCTTTGGATCAAAGAATGATATTGTTGAGTTTTGTGAAAAATTGACCTAAGACTTTTACATATCTCTTTAAAATACTTTTTAAAATTAGAGTTTTAATTTTTGTTATCATGGCCATCTTCATCATTACCATCATTTTAGACCTATCAAGAAGTGTTACCGAAAGAAGCATAAAGGAACCCTAGTTCTCTATATGTACCACTTGACCACACTCTCTTCTGGGAAAGACAGTTTTGATTATTGTTAAAGAAAATATCAATCATACTTGTGGTGAAAGGTCGCTACATTTTTTAACAAATTGGTCCTTTGAGCAAGATGAATTTTAATGGATTGGTTTATTAACCTAAAGGTTGAACCAGACTGAGAGTAACTGAATGATTTGTTCATAATTAGTATTATTTATAATTATTTTACTTGGGAAAAAATATCACCTTAAATGTCAGGATGTTTTTTAATTGCTTCAGATGAGATTCAAAATAATTGACTTTGCAAATGTATTTTAAAAAACTCATTTAAAAATACTTGAAGCTGCTGACAGTCTGTCTAGAAGAGGCAAGATATTGATATTCATTACTGGGAACAGGGCAGAAATTGATCCATGATTTTCTTTAACCAGATGAATTGTGCATTGTGGTCACTTCTGGACTCTAAAACAGATGAAATGCTGATATAGAGTGAGGGGTTTGTTTCTCTTCCCATCAAATCTGCTAAGTGAGTATGCTGTGTGAATGCTGGTGTATGTTTTTGCTCAGATATGTATGTATATTTGCATAGGTTTTGTATTGAAAAGGGAATATTGTTAATAGAAGGGACACACATATATGCATGCCTGCATACATATATATACATAGTTTTAGGAAAATATAGTCTGTGTACCCATTGTACCTCTAGACATGGGATTTCAATAGGATGCTTTCTAAAGATAAGTAGGTGTATGACTTAAACTTGGCACCTCTATAAATATCTGATTTGTCAGTTGATTGGTAGACATGAAAAAAAGCAGGAGACTATATTAGCAACAGGAGAAAGATGGCTTTTAAAATAATTTAAATTGTGAAATATGGATAAATCACTAGGAAGAAACAGGCAGCATAATAACAATGGTGGTAGCTTGGAATTACACAGCACTTTCAGAGACCCAAGCTGTTGCTGTGAAGGTTTGATCTCTCGTGCCCCTCACAGCTACACTTGGGTGCAGACAGGAAGGGGAGTAACAGCTTCGTGTAACAGATGATGGAGAGAAGTCAAGGATTTGCCCCAGGTCTCCATGCATTCACCATGCAGAAGGGGCAAGAAGAGGCAAGATATTGAGGTTCATTACCAAGAACCTGATATTCATTACAGGGACCTGAGGGGTGGAGGGTGTGAATGTGTCTACAGGTATCAAAGCCAACTTCAGTCTTCATAGCTAGACTCAACCAGCCAGACCCAGCACACAGAACCCAATTTTCCATCCAAGACATTTCAATGAATTAAACAAGAAAATGACCTGGAAAAAATAACTCAGGCAGGGAATACATAGCGAAGGGCTGGTCAACACAGTCTCTTGATTGCTCCTTCCAAGCACAGTCAGTATGATCATGGGCCTGCGACACAGTGGGGCATTAACCCCGGCTGCAGTGTCCAGGACACAGACAAATCACTCACTCAGGTAGCCAAGCAGACACCATCAATTACGATCAATTCCGAGTTTGAGAACTCGAAAAAGGTCATTAAAAAGAACATTTGATGGTGAATAAAAGGGAAAAATCACGAAGTTTCCCATCTATCTCCCAACAAGTTTGCTCTGTAAAGTGCTATGGCAATAGGGAGTCATGTATTTAAACTTTCCCCAGAAATACTGGAGTAAAATTAATACATATATTATATACAACACATATTTTATATTGTCGTACTTTTATTATATATGAGTGTATGTGTGCGTGTGTGTATATATATATGTATATGTATTCCGTCAAAGCACAGTAGGCAACCCCCCTGCTGAGAGTAGTAAGGGTATATTAACTGATTAATTATTATTAATGCCATCTTTTATTTAGCTGGCAATTATAATCTATTAAGAGCATTTATTCACATTATCTTACTTACTCGATTTTCAGAAAAACCCTGTAAGGCTCATCAGTAATATATTATTATCTCCCTTTTATAGACAAAGGAAAAAGGAAACTCAGATATTTCCTTGGTTAAGCTAATCTCACAAAGAAGCAAAGCCTGGACTAGACAGAACAATTTCTGACTCCTAGTCGGTCACGGAGAGCAACAGTGGACGATCCCAAGAAGAAAGGGGAAGGGGAAGTGTGCCACCCTCGTCCAGGGGAGAAACCTGAAAACACCCTCAGACCGAAATTCCTTCCAGTCTAGGTCAAAGGCCGGAGTAGGTGTGACTCTATGACACACGACCAGAATAATCAGAGGCACTTTCAGGCACACCTACTCACTTGGAGTTTTCTTGTGCAAGGGAGCCTTCCCTGTCAATCTCCTATCCTCTCATGTTTTGGGAAGTTTCTGGGGCAGCGGAGTTGGAACCCACTTCAAACCAACTCAAGTCTCTGATTCAGTTCCCAAACCCTCCCCACCCTGCACTCCTCTGCTCCATGGTCAGCCTTTTACATCACACCCTGCAACCATTTTTTTTTTCTTTTTCATTCCCCAGGCTCCTCCCTCCTTTCTCCCCTGATCTCCGAACTCTTTCAACACTGCCTCCCCCCTGTAATCTCTGCTGACCACCTTCTGGGTCTGCTCCACCGCTCCTGCCACCCCAAGGCTCTGTGACCCCCTCTGTAGTCCTCTTGCAGTACTGACCTGTGTCCTGCAGCCACAGGCACCTCCTGGTTGGCCCTCCGCTGTCTTGGCTCTGTCTGCTGCCACCAGCCTCCACCCAGGGCCTGTGAGCTGTGCATGTCTTCAAGCTCTTTGTTACTTTGCCTCCTTAATTTATAATGCCAGGTAAATAACAACAATAAAAGATATGATCCATGGTTCTCGTCTGCAGCCTCCACAAGTGTTGTCTCAGACCCCAACATTGCAACAAAGAAATCTCACAGTTGGGTGAGTGAAAATCAGTTACAGGACAGGAGCAGAAAACTTCTGTGCTTCCAAAATTCCGCAGCCCCAGCTGCCCTCCGGGGGCTCCCCCTTGTGGAAGATGCGAGGCATGGCAAGGCAGTGCCCAGCTGGGACGGTGCCTCGGCCAGAGGAGGGCGGGAGAAGAGCGCACATCCTGCCGGGGTGGGGTGCTCCCACCCCGGGGTGTGGGGTCCGAGTCCAGCCTCTGTGTGCGCTGTAGTGTTGAGGTCCTCTATAACTCATCAGGGGAATAGCTCGGGGAGACAGCACGCTGGGTGCCCGAGGTCTCTGAGTCCAGGTGAGTGTGGTATAAGTAACAAGCTTGTGCAGCTTCTGCTCGGAATGGGAGGTGGTGACTGGAAACCATTCGCCTCTGCTTCATGCCCTGACTGGCACGAGTGTATCACACAGGCGGACATTCACGTGGGGCTGCTCAGGAGAGACAGGCGTGGTGTCCACTGTCTGAGTAAAGATTCAAGGTCCATCTGTCCAGATGATGTGTTTTTCAGAGAAAGAGGATCTCAGCATTCTAACCCACCTGGCAGGTGGTATCATCCCCACCATCTAAGTAGCCCACAGCTTCTTCTGCTGTAAGTTATCACTGTTGTGTCTGGTCTTTATTCCTGTAGCCTCTGCGTTACCTGTCGAGAAAGAGCCCCTGAAGGAGCTGTGGTCTGAAATGAATGGAGTTTGATGATTTCAACTCCAAGTTCAGTCTGTGAACTTGTGGCTTTGGTTCACTACAGAGCTGCCACCAATTTCAGAAGGGTAGTAGAACTAAATAGAGCTCAGTGGGAACCGGTATGAGAATCAGTTTGCAGATACTAATATACCGTGTTTCTACGGACTGCACCCTGACCCCCACCAGAGCTCCCTTGCCAGGATTGCTTGAAGACACTTGACAACGTGTCGTGGCCAAACGAGCTCTAGGCTTACACAACGGTAGACTTGATTCCTATCTGGGCCACTTATTCTATCTCAGCTAACAACTCTCCCCTCAGTTTCAACATCCAGAAAATGGAGTTCACTTAATTTCACAATCAGGATCTTAAAACTGATACGATGTCAAAATGAGGTAATGTGTCACAAACCCTTTGGTGCCAGCAGACTATTATTCTGCAAAGTTTTCTTACTTGGGTTCCACTAACTGTGCTGGTCACTGAGAAGCTTCCCACCAGGCCTCTTGGTTGCTTGCTCCATATTCGACATAGCAATGAATTCTCTCCTGCAGGCCTGGTCTGGGACTCCAGTCTGTCGTCCTCAGCATGCCCTCTTTATGGCAGGGGAGCCAGTCAATCCTCCCCAATGACGTGGCTCGTTGCCCTGCACTGAGGATGGTCGGTGAGCATCACTTTCCTCTCCTCCACAGACAGAGCAGAGTCTGAACACACAGGGCCATAGGAGGTCAGGAATCCTCAGTTCCATGGATTTTGCTTGTACATTTGGAAACGTCACTTGGTTGTGTGAGCCTCGGATTCTCTGGCAGCTTTTTCGTGAGCCTTTTCCTTAAAGGCAACACAGACACTGCAGAAATAAAAACAAAACAAAAGAAAAAAACCAATCAGTTTAAGCAAAAGGAGCTTAACTTTGATGATGATGAAGCTAATTGTTGATATTGTTACTGATCATGAATTCAATAAATATTTCTCAGACCTATGTTGGGCCTTAGGCCAGATATGAAAAAGCTAAACTGCATTGAAGATACTTCAATTTTGTTATCAGCTCGACAAGTAAAAAACAGTCACAAGGCTTTAGAGAATTCAAGGAAAGCTGCAAAAATAAAAGGATTGCCTTTCATGTGAATAGACCTAACGGTGAGGACCACTGTGAAAGATGGAATCAAAATCTAGAAACATTTCTCATAAAGGAAGTAACAGGGGCCAGGAGCACATGAGGGATCCTGAGTGATGGGTTGAGAAACAGGAAGGTGAATGGGAGGGAAGAAGGGTCTGGTCTTGTTCCCCTTTTGGACTGGTCAGGGCCTGCCATTCTGGGCCCACACCAGGCTCAGTGGAATACCCTGAAAATAGAGCAGCCAAAATAGAGAAGAGACTCGAAGCCATGTCCTGGGGAGTTTGGAAAACCAGGACTATTTAGCAGATGAAGGTACAGCTCTGGAATTGCTGTATTCACACATCCAAGGACTCTCAGGTACAACAGGGCTGGAATTTGCTCTGCTCAGCTTCAGGGAATAGAATGGAACCCATCAGGAGAAACTTCAAAGAGAAGGATTTTTGGTTCATCAAAAAAATATTCTGCTGGTTTAGTCCAAACGTGGGAAGGTCACTTCCTGTCTGGAGAAGACTCTGAGGGCTCTGTCACTGAATGCTCTTTGGTCAAGGGAAGGGCCCATGCACAGAGGCTGACTGCACTGAAATAACCTCTGGGGACCCTGCTTGCTCTTAGAGTATTTGAGCCTATGAACAACGTGGGGTCCACAAGGAGGAACTAGATGAAAGAAGCACATGAGATTCTCGCACGGAGCATGTAAATCCTCGTGAGGGATCACACAGCCTGACATGTTAGGTGATCAGATAAGTCCAAAGCCTTATTCTCTCCTTCCCTTCAAACAGGATTATTTATTTTAGTATCTTAGGTAATTCCAAGACTTCTTGGTGGAACAAATGCTCTTTCGTATAGCAGAAAACACAAAGAAAAAGGCAAATCTCCTACTGAATGATCAGTGTAAGGAGCATCTCAGGTTTTAAAAGAGATGTTTAGAAGTCATCTTATCAAACATTTAAATTCCTCCCAGAACTTCCCTGATGGAGTGGTCACCTGATCTCTGTTTGAACCCAGCCTTTAAAGTTGAATGGATGGTAGGCCATTCAGATAGGGCTCATGAATCAGAAAACTAAATAAAAATGAAAATAAAATAAAATAATAAATTTTTAAAAGAAAAAGCAAAATATAATACATGCAAAATGCATCAGAAGGATATGGAAACAAAAGTCAAGAAGGCGGGATGTTTAGTGTAGTATCAGAGCATAAAGACAGAACCCAAAATTCATCAGAATTTTTAAAAGTCAGAATTCCAATAAATTTTAAAAATGCCATTTCCAGTTTGAGGGACCACATTTGTGACACATGGTAGTGCTGAAGAGCATACGGGAAGTTGTTGCCAATTCTGTGATCCTTTGCATCCGTGTGTGAGCCTTACAATGTGGGCTGGAAAAGTCTAAGACTAGGGACAGGAGAGAGAAAAAGGGTCCAGATTGCAAATGAAGAAGGAAGAAATACCATGGAGCGTTTGGAATTGCTTGTATGCTATGAGCTGGGACAGAGTTGCAAAAGGTGTGCAGAGCTGGTGAGGACGTCAGACAAGAAATGGAATGTTCAAATGATTGAGCAGAAGCAACCAAGGGCCTAGGTGGAGGAAGAAAAAGAATTCACAGTGGTGTGTGCCTATAATCCCAGCTACCTGGGAGGCTGGGGGGTTTATTGAGGCAAGTTCAAGACCAGCCTGGGCAACATAGCAAGACCCCATCTCAAAAAAAAAAAAAAGAAAAGAAAAGAAAAAAGAAAGGATAAATATGAGAGCAGAAAGAAAAATAGAGAGGTAAGAAGATGTGAAAAGAGAGCCTGCAGGGAGGTCCAAGATATCTGGGACATTTCCAAGGTCATCTCAAGGTATCAAGAGGAAATGAGGGGAGGGAATAGGATCAATGTTAAGAGGAAATAAAGGACACAAGGCACTGAAGGATCTTTTGAGTGGAAAGAAACAGAAGGAAAGTCACAGTCAGCATAAGACTTGGTTTTTCCATTTCTCCGACCCTCACTTAAGTCATTGGAAATCTCTGAATCCATCAAATGTTGACTGAATGCCTCCTAGGTACTCAGATATTTGATAGAAATAGAAACCGAAGTATGAATTAAAAATCCATGCTATAAAACTTCCCAGAGTAATCTCAATTACTATCAGTCAGTTAATAATCATTTCCTCAGAAACTACTATTGGCTAAAGACCATAGTCAATGCTAGGAATCCAACTGGGATGACCACGGCTACCCCAACAGAGAGCACAGAGCAAGTGAGGAAGGGGAGAAGGACAAACGTGTAAACTCCTACAAAGGATTATAGGGTGCTATGCAGAAAAGTAACAGAATATCCAAGGCAGTGTTCCTAGTTCTTATGTTTTTAACAGAAAAGAAACGTGAAAGAATCAGAAGCAGTCGGTCGGCAGGAAGTTTCTTCCTGGCTTGAGAAGTCCCAGTGTTTAGACAAAGATGGTGGAGGCTGAGCCCAGGAGAGGAGCTCTGGGAAGCTGGTAGGGAGCCAGGCTGGGCAGGAAGACTGGCTTTACTCCTCAGGGAAATGAGGCGGCTTGGAGTGGAAGGAAGAAGCCTCCTACCCAAGACCCTCCTATAGACCCACTCACCCTGCCCTGTGTGGCCAGCACAGTGGCTGTGGCCTTCACCTGTGGCTCAGCCAGAAAACGGCCTCTCTGGGGCCTCTCCTGGCTTTCCTGTGCCCTTGCTTTTCAACCCGGGCTTGCAGATGAGCCCGGCTCCCCTGCTCTAGTCTGAACGCCTCTGTTTCAGGGAAGCATTTGCATTTTCCTTGGCACAGGTACAGCTCGCTGAATTCTTTCAGGCCAGGCCAATTACAACAAGCCCTAAAACTGCTGAGCCCAGTGGTTTCTTCAGAGATCTGCTTACATTCCCTCCCTGAAAAGATCAGGGGCCCACTCGGTGCAGCCTCCACCCCCAAAAAGTGCACGTTTCACTGTGAAGGTGGAGGGGGCGTAGGACCCTTTCCTGAACAGGGTCATGAGGTGCGACCAGTTTTCACTTTGATTTTACATTCCTTGATTGCGTTTCACCCTGTTTTAAGACGATGGACAAGATAGCTCAGGGTCGGCTCCCTTGAAGGCTGTCTTGAGAAAGAACTAGAGAGGCTTTTAGCATAAGCCCCAGGGGATCTCAAGTTGGCAGAAGAATTTATATGTGTCAGTACCCTCTCTCATGCCTGGACTTCCACTGGGTTCAGGGTTCAATACTGAAACAACATTCTTATAAATTCTGGCTTTGTGAAGCAGATGGAGTCAGGATATAGATGATTTTTGGTTTTTTCATAATCCTAAAATATTTGTGCAGCAATAATCCAATTCTAGAACGGATTACTCCAAAGTTCGGGTATGTTTCTTTTTTCAGATTTTGAATTGTTACACCAAGATTTTTCAATAAACTTACCTCTCTGTTTATATTCTATTTTGTTTACTTTAGAATGCATAACATTCCCTAGCTTAAGAGAAGACACGGAGGGGATATTTTAATGACAACAGGTTAAGCAAAGGCACAACCAGTTTGGAATTAAAAATCACCCATGAATAATGAATAAAGCATGGAATCTGAAGGCAGATCACTGAGAACTGACCACTTCTAGGAGGCCTCTGCAAGAGCATCCTTCTCACAACACAAAATCATCACAGGACCATGTCTAAACTTCGGGCACTGACTCACAACTAATTAAGGCAATGGCCTTGCAGGTCTGTGCTTGAGTCTGAGGGCAGGCTTCAGACTGGCGAAACTGGGTTTCTTGAAAAGAAAAATTTGAACTCATTCTCTTCCTCCTTCTCACAGGCAGGATGGCCTACATGTGTCCAGAGGGATGAGAGCAGTCATTTAGAACTGAACTTTCTCACGAAGACGGGAACTACAGAGTCACAAGTTCAAAACCGCCATTTTTAACTTAGAAGACAAGAAATCAGAGCCAAATCTCTTTATTTGCAGAAGGGCAAATAAATTCTAGGAACCAAAGGTGGTTCTAATATCCTTATTTTAAAAAAACCTAGCATGAAGAGCAAGGGGGGTCTCTGGTGCTAACTCTCCTAGGAGTGGGCTCTGTCAAGGCCCCCCAGCACCACTCGACTCAGAAGCTTTCAGCTCCCTCCAGGCACTTGGCAATCAGAAGTAACTGCATCTCCATGATTTCGAGGTAAATTTACAAACTGAAATTTGCCTGGCTTAACTACAAGGATGCTGCGTTTTCTGTACCAGCTAATGAAGAGTAAATATTCACATTTCCATACCAAGAAGGAAAAGAATATCTTAGGCTAAAAGCAGCCTTCAGTGTGCTACCTGGGATTGGAAGAAGAGTCAGATTTCTTGTCTTTAATTAAGGATATAGCTGGGCTGAACGGCTGCACATCTCTCCTGGGTTCTTGGCCAAGGACCAATCTGGGTCGTAAAAAGAGGAAATCCCCTGGGCCCAGGTAGATCTCTAAAGAAAGAGCTTTAGTTGGCTGGGCTTTGTTTATCAAAGCAATATTTTTTCTTGTCCTGGAGTCAGCAAATTTTCTGCCAGGTAATCGGAGAGGCCCATAGGGAGACTTAAATGAGACAAGCCCAATGGTCCTGTACCAAAATCTTTAATGTTGAAGGCTGCTAAGATGCCACGGTCACAACATTGCCAAATGCCTACTGTTTTGGGTGGCAGTGAACACAGAACTTAATCAAAAGTCATTTCCCATTTCATTATTAAAGCCAAGGAAATCTGGTACCAGAGCCTTGGATTTTTGAGGA